CCGGTGCAGCCGATCCCGGTGCCCCAGCAGGACTCTGAGGAGCACCAAGCTGGAACAGCAGGAATGAGCAGAAATCCCAAGGCAGTGGCTGAGATGTATCAGAAGCTCCATGGCTGTGGCTGGAACCACGGGTTCAGTCCCTGCAGGGCAGGGGCTGTGGGGCCCAGCAGCAGAACAGAGGCAGCTCCAGGCTGGGTTATGGCAGTGGCAGTGAATTCCTTCCCTTCCAGCCGCAGGTCTGACTGTCCTTCCCCAAAGCCCAGACAGAGCAGCTGCCCCCAGCCCGGTCCTTTACCTGCCCCAAATTCCTGCGGTATCCCTCCACTCAGAAACTCCCAGAGAAAATTTAAAAAAAAAAAAAAAAAAAAAAAAAAAAAAAAAAAAAAAAAAAAAAGTGAAGTCAGATGCTACACTCCTCTCCAGACCTTGGCAATTTTTTTCTTAAGTACACATAACTACAGTAGTTACTTTCTTAGGAACTTATGGGAAAAAATTCTCTAAGTAAAAAAGAAAGAAACCCAACCCCCAACAAATACCCCTGACTTTGTTATCACCAGGTATAGCACAGAGTTCAGCATTGCTAAATATGATAAAACGGTGCAGAACTCCAGCACTTTTCACCACAAGGGCACTGTGTTAACAGTAAAACAAATTTTTCTGTCACATTTAGAAGAAGATTTGGCAGAAAAAACTCCTCTTGAATTTCAGCTGTTCCTCAGATACCAGAGGGGCTGGGGGTGGCTGATTCTGAGGAATGGCAAATTTAGCACTAAAAAGGGAAGCACAGAGCCAGTGCAGCACTGTGAGTCCAGTCACATTCAGTAAGAATTACCACAATCACAGATCCACAGTGTGACAGACACCCTGTGAGTCTGGTCATGTCCAACAAACTCTCCTGACCAGACCACGGTCTGGAAGTGTTCAACAACCTTCAGGTGCCAAACATTGTAATTTGCCGAGCAACAGAAACGCTGGACTGTCAGTGATAAACATAACGGCTGCAGGAGTGCATGAACACAAAAAATATGAGTAATACACCGACAAACAGTACGTTAGAGTGGAAGACGACTAAAAGCACAATCGCAAACAGAAGCTGGCTCTGAATTTCCTGAGGGAGCGCTCCGTGTTGGAGCCTTACCCAACAGGCATTCCTATGGGGGAGGAGTGAGGCACAGCCCGGGACAGTCCCACGATACAAAGGTGGAGTCTCCTCTGACCTCCGCCCCTCTCAACCTGTATTTATATTGGTCTTTTTGAGGGAGGGTATATGGTAGAGTTTCAGTTGATGACATTTCATATTCAGGTGCAGTTTGTGTGCCTTCAGTCATGCATGCAAAGCATGCACACGTCTTATTTCATTAGCACACACTGGGGTGTGGAAAGTGATACCTATTTTCGAGTTAACGGAGCAACGTTCAGGTTTTGGTCACCTTTTGGGTCACTCCTTTGGCTTCGTTCCCCTTGGCCGCATTGTTTTAAGAAGAGTATGGTCACAACATCTGCCGCTTCACCATCCTTTGTTCCCTCTCTGAGAACGATACACCACGCTCCCTCAGAGATCCTGCTCCTAAGGGCACAGGCAGCTTCTCCCTGGAGAACTACTGCCAACGCTAACGCTCCTCCTTGCTGAACTTGGGTTTTCGGTATTTTTTCACAAAGGGGCCGGCACGACCGTCACGCAGAACTCACCTTGGCCAGCCCTGCAGGACCATCCCTGCCTTGCCTGGCGCCAAGGCCTGGTCCCCTCGGCGCGGCTCCGCCAGGCCCCAGGCCCCGCTGTGGCCCGGCCCAGGCCGGCACTGCCGCCGGAGCGCTGCAGGAGCCGACAGGGCCATGAAGAAGCGGCTCCGCACGCTTCTCCTCCGCCTTCGCCTCCTTCACAACGCACCTGACACGGCGCTCCGCCGAGACCCGCAGCCCCTCCCCGCTCCTCCTCGCCCCGACACCGAGCAGGCCCCGGCCAGCGGTGCCCGCCCCGCCCGCAGCCCCGCTCGCCGCCCGCGGTACCTGAGGGGCCGCGGGCTTCCCGGCGTTCACCCGGTGTGTTTACCTGGTGCGGGGCCTCCCCGGCAGCCGCTCCGCCCGGCGGGGCCTCTCCGCCCTGGAAGCACCGCCCGGCCCTGAGGCGCCGTCTCGCGCTGAAGGCCCCGCCCCGAGGGAGGGGCGGAACCGCCCCGAGCACCGCCCGCCCCGGCACCGCCAGCACCGAGCACCGCCGGAATAATCCCGGCACCGCCAGCCCCGGGCACCGCCGGAATAATCCCGGCACCGCCAGCCCCGGGCACCGCCCGCCCTGGCACTGCCCGGCCCCGGCACGCAGACAGACGTACCTTCGCTAAATGCAAGCTCGAGCACAACAGGCGGGGTGTAACATGATGGGTGTAAAACCAGCTCCGCCCTGTGAAGACACAGCTTGCAATAAAATTAATGTCAGGAAATAACTGTTGTTATAGATACTCTAATTTAAAATAGATTGCCAACTTTGACCACAGAGAGACAACTACAGAAATGCTATTTTCCTCCAAAGTAGCTTTGTATATGCATCATTGTACCATACATACATATTATTGTATATGTAGCTAATAAAGAAAAAATAAACAAGACTTTCAGCTCTACGCCACTTTATTATTGCTTACTGCACTGCGAATTTCAATACTTGGAAGTGGTATCATAAGGATAAATCATAAGGATTTTATAGTTCTGGCATACTTAAATCATAGGTCCTACTGTTGTATTGAATTGAGGAATTATAAACCAAGAATTAAAAATAACAGATGAAACGGGTGCAGGTGTTGGAGGTCTTTATTGAGATTATAGCACAGATACACTTCTATAGTTACCTTTCCACTTTTATACGATAGTTAAAAATGCTTGCTACAGTGCACATATAATTTAGTAACCAAGATAATCCAAAACTTAACTGCAGTTCAAATAAATAAATAACCTAAAGTTTAAGGTTTATATTTTAAAAAGTAAAAGAACTGTACAATATGAAAATATAACAATACATAAACATTAGAATCTAAAGATTTGTAGAAATAAAACTGCAATTTCCCATACATAAACAGTGCAAGAAATAAAATTCAGATAAGCTTCTGAACTGGGAATTTAAACAATTCTTAAGTTATCATGCAGACATAGCATTTTAAGCCATGCTGGTTTCTATTACAGCATTAATGGTATCCCTTTTACTAGAAAAATTGATAGCCATTAAGCCCACTGTGACAACTGCTGCCAATCCACTCTTTTCTACAGTACATTATACACAGAGGTATTCTGTTGCATTCAAAAAGTAAAATATTACATGTTTCTACTGAAAAAGTCAATATTTTACTTTTCCCCCTCCAACATGTTAGCTGGTTTAAAACAATGTCATGTAGTAAAAACATCAACATTTTTCCCAGGTTAGATGAAAAGAAAGAAAAACCCCCATTATATAATGGACCATAATCAAGAAGTGGTTACTACCTAGTCAACCTTTAAAGTTCAGATTTTTTATACTAAAAATGTTGAAACTGTGGAGATGTTATAAAGCTTGAGCTCTTGTTCAAAAGTGATGAATACAATAAACCTGAAAAAACAGTGGAAGTAGTTTTTCTTTTATGTGTGTGTGTAACTAGTTACATACAGACTTGATTGAAGTGTTCCTCAACTTAAGCTTCTATACAAAATTCTCATTGAGGCAAAGAACAAGGAATGCAATTAATACCAAACTGTAAACACATCATTCATGTTACTCTGAGTGCACATCAACAACAGAAGAGTTCTCCTCATAGACTTTGGCAACAAGACTACAATAAGTCACAGCAGCATGAGTTCAACATGGAAGACTGGAAGCACTGCAAAAGAATATACTAAAAACACCAAGACCTCCTAGAAACCAGAAAAATCAGTGACAGGTGCCCTTCCTCTTGATAAGACACTCTCCTGCTCAACTGCTGCTCTCTCAAAGCCTCATTATTATTACTTGTTTGGACAGTTCTGTAGTCTCGGGTCTCTGTGCTTTAGCTGCATAGTTGCCTTTGTTTGCACTCTAACCATTGTAGGTCCAAAGGGTTACAGTTCTGTCTGCAGAAGATGACAAGAAGGAAAGATCTTGTGTGTGCCACCTGCACTGAATAACTTTGTCCTTGTGCTCCCCTACCACCATCAGAGGAAGCTGCTTCGTCAGGTCCCCTGTGGAGAGGAACAGAAATCAAATCACTATTCATTTCATGAATCCATATCCCAGCCTTTGGGTGGTGAGTCTTTTTTTAACCAGTTTGCTTACTTAAAGCTTCCATCTGTATTTCACCTTATGAAGTGTACTTGACTCCCCTTTCTCTCTCACACACACACAGAGCAAAACAAAAGGCTCCAGGGCTTCAGTTTTTAGGCATTACTGGACACAGTACAAATTAAAAATGCAGATCTCCACCATTTTTACACAAGGTGATTAAAATGTAATGGTTCAAGAAAGTCAAGTCAATTAGATATACGCACTATCTTCCCTATTCTTAACTCATCCCAATAAAAATGAGAATTACTATACTTCTTTAGGACTTTTTTTTTAAGGGTCAATTTTATGAATGCTCTCTGAAAGCAACGGCCATCTCACCAGTCAAGAGTGTTTATCAGTGATTTTACTGTAATGAGACTCTCACCCCAAAACAAGATTCAGTTCACAGCCTACGCTTTCATCACCACAACCACCCCATTTCCACCGGACACAACCACATATATACACATCCAACCTTTCCAAGCTCGACTATTCTTTCCCCTTTACAAGTCAAACCCGATCCTTGAGCCAAGCTCTCAAGTCCAACACCAGAAGCTCCAAAGAGGGCCTGTGTTACCTTGCAGGTCTGTCACCTTGATCTTCATGTCATAGGAGCCGGTGAGCAGGTAGTGCGCGCCCGGCGAGAAGCGCACAGAGCGCACGTCGCTGCTGTGGGGGTGGTAGCTCTGCACCATGCGGCCCCCGCGGATGTCGTACAGCATGCAGCTCGAGTCCTCCTGGCCTGTGGCCAGCAGCCTGCCACTGGGATCCACTGCCACTGAGGCTACAGCACTCCCTGCAGGGCCACAGAAACACCAGCAAACCCACAGCAGAGTTAGCTGGGCTTTTGCAAATAGCCAACTGATTTTTTTTTTTAACAGAAGAACATGCATTGGAAAGAACACCAAAAGCTGGCCTCAAGTTTAAGATGAGCATAGCCAGCTTAGAATAAAGAAGTCTTTATTCTTCAGCACTAAAAACTCTGATGCCCTAAGGCACACTAGAATCATAGCAAGGATACTAGCAAAGCTGCATGAGAAAGTATCAGTTCCATCACAGGAAAGAAAGTCACTCTTATGAGGTAATGGGGAATACCACAATGAATTCACCCTGGCCCTGAAATTTCAAGGACTTCAGTTAGGTTGCTGTATTTGAATGCACTTAAAAGCATCTGTTTGAAAGTCATAAGGCAAAAGCACTACCCATCTTCTGAGAGGAAATATTACTTTAGGAACAAACCAACCAACCCCCCAGGTAAAGAAAGAATCTCTGAGGATATCTATAAGCCAAGCCTCCCTTCTGTGCCACAACCTCCCCTTACATTCACTCTATATGACATGGACATCCTCAAAGTTTATTTTCATGCCAGGATGATTTAGAAGCATGATAACACATCTTGCCTGTTCCATGAAACGTTGTTCCCACAACACGAACACAGCTTGGCACTCTCAAATCCCAAAATCTTACAGTTTTGTCTTGAGATCCAGATGCAATCATCCAGCCACTCCATGTATAAAGTGCTAAAATATGTCCTGTGAACAAGAAAACTTCTTAATTTGATTAAGCATCATTAACCCAACATTGAAATATTATTGCATATACAGTTGGGATTATATTTTGCATTCAGAGACTTAATCCCAGGGAAAACCTGCATATTGTGTGATCCAATGCCAGTGTATGGCAGTACCCAGCCATGGGCACACACGTCTTCTCTGGAATGAGGTGTGCACTCTCTCCATTAGATTAAAAGCAAACATATATAACAACAAACACTGCCCACCTCCCCTCAAAATACCTCAAGAGCTATTGGGAGAGGAAAAAAAAAAAAAACAATCTTGCTAAAAAGAAAAACCACAATGATTTTAAACCAAATCAAACCAAAACAACCCCACAACTTTATTAGAATATAACACAGACTTAGAAAGTGTGACAGAAGCCACACTGTACCTACCAGTGTGACCACTTAGGGCATGCAGGCCTTGTCCACGCTGACAATCTGTTGTGTAAATATTACAGTCCCCTGCTCCAGCACTTATTAAAATAGCACCACCACTTTCTGGGCCTTCCATAAAGGCAAGGTCTCTGATTGTCCCATCGTGCATGCTGAATTCCAAATCTGGTCCTAAAGTAATTTAAAAATCAGGGAACAAAGTAAGGCATACTTCATTAGTGCTGTGCTCTTTAAAGCAGGTACAGAGATAATACAGAGTATTTTAGGTAAGGGTGAACATGCCACCAAGTGCAAACATGGCTGTGCACTTCAGCACAGAACATCATTTCAGTTACTACAGTTCAAATCAAATCTCTAAGAACCTTGGGTTTGAGTGTCGCTTGAGCTTCCTACTTCCCAAAGCTTTGCAAAATGTACATAGACCATCACCACTGCAGCCAAGGTTTCTTATGGAGTATATTTATTTATTTTTGTAAACTCTGGTGAACTCAAAAGGTTCTCTTTGCCAGGAGGAAAAGAACATTGAGAGCACTGAATACAAGGACAAGCCTAAGTTCAAAACACCAAAGGTAAGAGCCACATTCAACATATTGATTAGGAGAGGTGGCCATGGAAAGTAGTATTTACTTTTGAAGAGGGATGTGAAGAGAGAACTAGGCAAGAGAAAAGGGAACTAGGAGTGGAGATGAATTCTTAGTGAAAACTGAGCTCTAGAAGTGGGTAAGAACATCTGGTTGTTTTACTGTATATGGGGAGGAATTTGCCAGGAGATAGAACAATACCAGAGTCTTACAAAACGAAACCAAAACACAGCCACCCAACCCAAACAAAACCCTAAAGATAATTTTAAATCTCTCAGTGGTTCTTTGCTGGATAGCAACCATAGTGATGGTAAAAGGGAAAACAGATTGAATTAAAATATTGGAATAAAAATAACAAAACAGTGTAAATTGAGTGGTTTTGACAAATAGTGGACAGTAACTGAAAATAAATTCTTGGAACTAAATATACATATAGTACCTGTTGCATTACAAGTTTCTGCATTAAAAGGCAGCACTTTCACATATTTATCATTAGAACCAGTAGCTAACAGCTGTCCACAGGGACTCCAGGCTACACAGTAGATTGATCCTTTATGATGCTTATTCCTCTTGAAGCGAACTACAGGTTGTTTAGGAGTACTATAAGCACTGGTAAAAGAAAAAACCAACAAACATAATATTTCCTTTTATTTCTAAGAGAAACAAAGTATTCTAAAATGAAGATACTATTTTTCTGTTATTTTGGGTAACATGAAATTCATATGACTACTTGCACTGCAACATATATGTGTGATCAAAGACAAAAGGATTTCTCATTTTCTCCATTTTTCCTCATCTTCCCATTCTATCTGTGATTGAACATGCAAAAAGAACTTACCCAGTCCTTTCATCTGTAAAGGGGCTGATACAGATAAAATATAGTAATTACTAGCTATAGGACAATAAAACATTATCCCCAGAGTCCAAAACTGGTGTGAGTTCTCTACGTCCTTCATATGTCAACAACTTAATTGTTTAATTAACTATGTCCCCTTTTGAATATGCACGAGTTCAATTAAGCAACAGTAGGCCAAGAAAAACAGACCTACCACTCTATGCAAGAATCCTGACAGCATCTAACTACACCACAGATTATTTGTAAAACCATATCAGCTTTGCACACTGCTGAAATAAAAGCAACAGTCCCAGTAATTTACATTTCCTTGACTGCAATCAATTACCTTCCTACAATGTTCTTTTTCTGCTCACACAGCAGGAAGCAATCAAGTACTTAGGATAAATTATTGCAGTATCCATCTCCATATCACTCCAGTAACATCAACAGGAGAAATTCAACAAACTTAATTATTATTGAAAAAGTTCATAAACCTTATTATAAATAATAATGAGCAGAAGAGGCAGAGAGAAAAAACAAGAAAGACAATCATCCAAGCCTGTTGAAAAACTCTGGAGATTAACATCAGTTTAGTAACGAATACTAAAGTAAACCTACATGGCAGCTAATTTTATTTTGTTGCCAGAGAGGAAATCCATTACACATTAGCCTAAATCAGGATCACTCAACACACTACAGAGCTTCCTAAGTGGCCTAATGCCTTACCTCACACTCTGAGTTTGGATTCACCACATCTTAAGAGCTGAGGATCACTGATTCTCTCAGGACATGAGAGCACCTACCCAGGTCAGAGACCACATGCTGCCAAGCCACTGCATGGAAGGATGTGATTATTTGAGCCACATTTGCAGAACTGTAACACGTATCTGACAGTGCTTAATCTTAAATGTGTGCAAAAACGCCCACACTACTATTATACCTTTATAATTTAATCCTTTACCTTTAGAGAAAGGAAAAAAAACCAACTCTAAACTAACCTGTCTTGAATAATTCATCGGTTTGAAGGACAAGTTAAAAAAAAAGTTTAATAGGCCCAGAGCTTCAAAGAACAGTTCATCTACACAGCCATAGCTCTTTGAAAAGCACATAATTTTGAATGCACGTCTAGACTCATGTTGCTACAAGGATTAGAATATCTTTAAGATAATGCAATCTCTCTGCTGACTTGTAAATCCCATGATGAAGTATTTTAGGCAAACTGTAAGCATAGTTAAAATCAACAGCAAATGAAAGAATTACAAGTTCAGAATTAAGGATATTTCAGTATTGCTTTCAAGTCCAGATGCAGTGTGTCTCTTGTCACATCAGATCATGCACTGCAAGTAAAAACCTAAGGCTGCAGAGTCGCTCAGACCTTTTCCATCAAGCAGAGTCAGCAGCTGTGCAGGAGCCAACATGTTTTGCACTGCTTACCAGTCAAGAGTCTGTTTGGGCTTCAAGCCCAGTATTAGGTAACAGAAATCAATTCCTTTTTGTGTTGTGTCATACATTGCTCATAAATATTTTGGAATTAAAACTTCAAAGGCTACCTTACTGGTGATATTTAAGGAGGAAAAGAAAAGTAGGTTTACTTTCTGAACACTTTGGAAGCCTGGACATCAGTCCTAAAATGGGAAAATGTCCCAGATGAAACCACTGTCCACAGCTGTGTATTCTAAAAAATTGCAAAGTTTAGATGCTTGCACTTCTCCCCTCCTCCTCCAAGAAAATAATACAAGTGGAGCAGAATTAATGAGATGGTTATTGATGTGGCAATATTTATTTTCAGGTATATTATTCCCATCCTATAAAAAAATGGGTGGAAAGTAAACAAAATACAGCTGCACAGTAAACTACATATGATGCTTTTTCTGTCAAGGAACCAATATAACTCGAAAACAATGTTTAGAGTAAAAACACGTCAACAGACACACACTGGCAAGCTTTGCTGTAGAAGTCAAGAAGATAGAACTTTCTCTACTGTTAAGTCTGTCCTGCCAGAAACTGGATCTTGTGAAGCCCAGCTTGTGCTGGCTTGGGAACTGACACATGCTTTCTCCCACTGTTACAGCTGGAATATCAACACCACTGGCTCAACTGCTGAGACAAAAAACTCCCAAACATTTCTATAAGGAAAAGTGTGGTCTTGTGGCAATACATCTTGCAAATAATAAAGACAGCAAAGAAGTGGCCCACAAATATAGCAATACTTCAGCACATCACCTTGTATTTGTTTAGGAGTTCAGGATTCCAAGCAGAGCATTGCTGTATTTATGACAATAAAATAAAGGTATGAAATGTACAGGTATCAGTAGCTGCAGGAGAAAGAAGTGCTATGATAAAGAAAAAGAAATTATTGTATTAGCTTTCTTACCTTGGGTCAATTACTTCTGGATAGGCACAAACTCTCAAAGTTTTAGAGTTGGAACCAACAGCATATAAACTCCCACTAGGATGAAAGGCTACAGCTCTGACAGCTTGTGTGTCTTCTAGAGTATTAATGCAAATAAACTGCTTTTTTGATTTGTCATCCTGTGTAAAAGGATAACAGTAAAATTAGGTTCCTCTGTGTAAAACTGGACATTTAAAAGTAGGTGTGACTGCTCTGCAGAATCATGTAAAGTTACTGTAGTCAAGTATTAACAAGTAGCAGCACAGCAGGCTGGATCACTCAAAGTACAGTTTTGTAAACAATGTCTACTCCAAGTCCAAGAATGCTCTTGAAGGTCCTTTCTTCAACTGACTTTTACAGTTAACATTAATTAATTAGTGTTTCACATTCTCCCTCCAGACTTCCATCTGCTTTTGTTCTTCTAAACAGCCCACCTCAGATGGACAATACTACAGGTTATTTCTGTGTAAACACATTTGATCTGTGTGAAACTTGCCAGGGAAACAAAGCTGCCTTTTTACTGAAAACAGTCCAAGTCAAACACAGCTTCTAAACCAAATACAACATTAAACACAGAATCAGACTTTCACCCTGTATGTAACACAGTTATCATTAAATTATGCTAAGCTTTGTTACATCATCCTCCTTGTGACTTCATGACCACCTTTCTAAGATTATGATTTTTATTTATGCAGAAATTTTGGAATGTACTTATTGCAGTTATTTCCCTATTAACTATTCCCCTGTTTTTTCAGGCCATACTGACTGGAGTCCAACACTCAAAGTTCTTACCTGGAAAACACAAAATAATGGCTGTAAAAGACATCCCATCAGAACATCTGTTGTACAAGGAGAACCTGAAAGAGCTGGTACTGTTTGGCCTTGAGATCAGAAGGGCTTTTCAGGGTGTGCATGTGTACATCTCACCAGTGCATATAAATATGTGACTGGGGAAGAAGATGGAGCATGACTCTTCTCAGTGGTACCCAGTGAAAGGACCAGAGGCAAGGAACACCAAATAAAATTAAGCAAATTCCACTTTTTTTGGTGTTCTAAAAACACTGTGAGGGTGGTCAGACACAGGATGAGGTAGCCCACAAAGGCTGGGGAACATCCTCCACCCTTGGAAAGGCTCAAAACCCAACTGGACCCAGCCCCAAGCATCCTGCTCTCATTGACTCTTTTACACAGAGCATTTGGATTCAGTGTCCAGATGTCAATGGTTCTGTGACTGTAGACACTGCACCAACAAAAATTAATTTTAAATATCTCTTAACAGTAAGAGGATGTCACACTCAGGATTAAGTACTGTTTTGATAACACATGCAGTAAAAGACAACAAGAAAACTCACCTCATCAGCTCTTGTCCTAGATAAATTCCCAGAAGAGTCTTCTGACTGTGCCTGAGTGACAGCATGCTCTGATGCACTGCTTTGATTTGGTGAAGTGTTTAACATCACAAGACAAAACAAGAGCAGGGACAGATTTTTTGGTAAGTATTTTTTGGACTAAAGTTACAGTTTCAGCCATTCTCAGAACTGACTAATTTATGTAAAGTGTTATACATGTCTGAATCATTACCATTAAACTATTACTTTTAAAAGGGACAGCCCTTTTTGCAGCAACACCAAGCATTGAACAAGTGAACTCAAGTTAAAAATACTTTTCAGTCCATGACATATCTATCTATAGATACAATATATACACACAGAGAGCTGGAAGAATTACTGTTTCTTTCAGGTCAGCGCTACTTTGAGTTAACAGAAGAAATTCAGATCCCATTCTTTCCTGCTTCTCCCTTCATCTAGTTTGTATTTAATAAAAAAGCTTCCAGAAACTTAGAATGACAAACACAAAATGAATAAGATGGAATTAAAAGTCCAAAATTAAAAACAAGCATAAAATGCAACTATTCCTCATGCATGGTGTCAAAAAAAAAAGATTTTATAATCCCTACATAAATATTTAGAAAACACTGATCATGAGCTAAATACCCCTATTCAACGAAAAAATTAATTTGATAGTTGAAGATAAATACAACCAGCTCTCCCACAGTGCCAGCAGAAGGCTATTCCAGTCCCGAGTGCTCTCCAGGATCTTACCTTTGATTCCCCTGTACAGGTGACTCTTCAGGGAAGGGGATCTGATTAGCTGATCCACACTTGCGAGGAGTGCTTGTATTAAGGTTTGGGCTGTCAGTTGCTATCCTCTGGCTACCATCTGAAGGTGCTGATGTGAAATTACTTGCTGGATGGGTAGATGCAATCCCTTTGCTCCCATTACATTGCTGGCTAAGTGTTTGTACATCATTTCCAAGACTGTCCATACCCATATTTAATTCTCCTAGTTTCTGGATAGATCTAATAACAAATGACAAGTTAAAAAAACCCAAAGCATCAAACCAGGCCATTATGAGAACTTACAGAGAAACATGGGTGGGTAGAAGAATCAAACTCCCCCAACCTGTTAAGAAACTGTTCAGTAAGGTTCTGTTGCTGGTCAGCTCCATCTTCTTGATGAACTCCTCCTTCTAACAACATCTGCTGATACAATTGTCTCTGCTGCTCCTTCTGCTCTAAGTGCTGCTGGTAACGTAATCTTTGTCTGTAGTATTCCTGAAACTGCTCTGTGGAATCACGAAGCTAAAAAGAAATGAGAATCACAGATGGAATTTAAGTAGTTAACTGTGGTATTTAACATAAATATTTACTTTCTGATTCAGTCTTTCAACACAGGCATCAAAAAGCCAAGAGATTAATCTCTGAAGAGTGATGATTTCATTCGTCCTTAAAACCAGACAGAATTTACATATTAAAAAAAGAAAGCACTGCCAGCCTACACTGTTCACTGTTGAAGCAGTCCTACTGTAATTCTGAAGGAGACTGCTCTTTCCTACAAAATTTCCAAAGTATTACTTAAGATCAAAACAAAAAAGTGATTGAAAGTTGAAAATAAAAACCAGGAAACTATGCAAGTCATACTTTCATTACAATTTGAGTATTTTCTGCCAAGTTGACACCTCCCTGCCATCAGTCTGCAGACCCAGTTTACCCCTCCCAGCAGCAGTGGTTTATTCAAATGTTACATTTCACTTTTGAAATTGGTTAACTTTTAACTGTTTTAACTTTAAAATTCCTTATTTTCTGGACCAAGACAACACTTGAACTTCTTTCTCATAGCCTTTTCTTTACATACTGTTAGCTTCCCACACTGCCAGCTGCCCAGGACTTGCTGCCTTCTGCATTCCCAAACCTCATTTTACTTTCACTTTCCTGCTAGCAGCTGAGAACAAGATAAAAATGAACAAACAGAAGACCAAAAACACTTTAGTACAAGGTCAGATCATTCACACTGAACTACCCTGTATTTTCTGAAGAAGAAAACCAAACTGCATATTTACCTAATAGAAAAAAAAAAACAGAAAAATACGAATAAAAAAATAGTAATAGTAAAAAAATCTTGTGTGGGTTTTTTGTTTGTTTTCTGTAGTGATAGCTTTGTCATCTAGGATTTAAAGTTGTGTAAGGACATCCTCATAACTTTGCATTAGTTCACACAATTCATACACATTCTGTCTTTGTAACAGCCTTTGCACTTCTTCTATTAACAATTATTAACACCACTTGCATTATGATTTTTTGTTCTCTGACACAATTTTTTTTTATTTATAATGGATTTCCTAGCACTGTTGCATTTGCAAAATATTTACTACCTTAGGTTTCTCATGGTGAATACTTGCAATTCAGAAACTCCAAAGTTACTGACAGAAGTGAAAAGCATTTATTTTCTGTACTTGAAATTGATGAACTATTCCCCACTCCCTGGGTTATCAACCTAAACAACAAGTATATTCTTGTCTATATATCTTTTCATGACTGATACTTGTTACAATTTTATTCAATTCTTTTGATTTTTTTATTCTGTGCCACTATTTCCCAACTAACACGCAAACCTAAAATATGTCACCCAGAAGCTCTATTCTATAAACTGTGGCTTCTAAATCAGTCTCCACAGGAACACATCAAAAACAAAGCTCTGAAAAGAAACTTAAATTGATTTCTTACTCCTACAGGTATATACATACATCACTATGATGTGGGAAACAAAACAAAATGAAATTGCACCAGGTACTACATTCTTTTCTACTGGTGTATAATAGCTTGGCCAACATCTTCACCACAGCACCTCCTGTCCTCATTCTCTCCTACAAATTCTGCACCTGTTTTATTCTGTTTTCCCTCTTGAAGCCTGTCCTGCTCTATATTCTTCTAGCTAAGTTCTTCCTTCCCTTCCAACATGCATACAAAACACAGAGAAGCAAAGTCCTTGAGGGGAGTGAAGTCCTCAAATGTAGATGACTTTGTTAATCTTACAGTAGATCCCACTGCCTCACTCAAGTGTCCAGAGACTACCAGGACACAGTCCTGTCAAAGCTAGGCTGGTGTCCAGTCCCACATGTCATAAGCCTGTTAAAGTTTACCTAAGAAAATCAAACCTGAATCTGCAAATAGAACAGACAGCACACTCAATGTTATTTTTCATTACCAAATTTAGAGACTAGTATTTAACTGTGGAAAAAGAATGGAATAGGTAACTGTTTTCACTGTTTCCTTCTGAGCTATTATTTCACTTACTCCATATTGCTGTTAAGGGAAAAAAAAAAAAAAGAAAAAAAGGATAGTCAAGGCACAGGCCTTCAGAGATTAATCCAAAAAAAGTTATGCTATTGGATTCTGAATGGCAAAGATATATTTATGAGGGAATTGCCCAATTTTAAATTTCCCTGTGTTCTAGACAAGAACTGATGTAAGATGACTTACAAAACCTGGCATTAACACCAAAAATTACAAGCTACATGCTAGATTTGTGACTAGAACATGAAGAGGATGCTTAAGAACTGTTTAATCTAACATTGTTGGCTCTGTTTTTTTTGCTTCCTTTTAAAGATATACACAACAGTTTAGCTGGACTGCTGATGTGACAAGGCACTCTAATCAGCTGCATTACAGACTCAAATGACAGCAGAACTTTATACAATGGGGGACAAAAAGTAGTAGTTCCTTTTACAAGACGCATTATGGCATTTTTACTATAGTAAAAACGAGATTCAAAGCAACCCATTGTCATGCATGAAGTTCTCCACACAAAGGCAAATCATTATGAAGTGATCAAAACCCAGCTCAAAGGGCCTCATTATTTTTAAACAAACAAGCACTACCTCATTTTTCTCTTGTTTGGCTGATCCCTGACTCTGTGCTGCATTGAGTTCATTTTCTGGAGCTGAGCTCTGGCACGAGGTCTCGCTGCCGATGGGGTGCTGGGGCTCCACGGGAGTATCACTTCTCGCAGCAACATGGAAAAGAAGAGATGCTTAACTGAGAAAAACCAAGAGTAGAAAATCAAGTGGAGAAAGATAACATCCTAGAGTAAGATCTGGTAACACAGGAATGCAAACTACTTAAGTCACGTCAAACTGAAGATACTGCTTAGGAAAAAAATGCCACTTGCAATGTGTTATACTAAAGAAAATAAACTCCCTGACAAACAAGAAGCACAGCCAGTTTCCAAAAAGCCTCACTTCCACAGCACTCCCCAGTTTCATCATCCCTACATTTGAATTCTACATCCTTTAACTAAGTTACTCAAAATCTTCACTTTCAAAGCAATTATGTGTACAAAATGTATCTGATATACTATGAGCCTAAACTCTTCCCAAAGATATCAGTTTAATTACCACTACCAGTCTAAACTGAAACTAATATCCACAGATGTTTAACATCCATTTGCCTTAATGTTCCTGAAAGTCCAAGGTAGAAAAATGTTTATATTGGGTTTTCTTTTCTTGTTTGTTATAAGCATTTCTGCATGACACGCTTTCCAAAATGGTTTGGCAATCCATCAGTAAATGTGCAGAACACATTATAAGCCTTGGATGCCCATCTTCAGTTTTTCAACTTAGGATTTTACTCAGTGACTTGAAGTAAAGGTTTTTTAGAAGTTATTTCAGACTTCTTGGGTACCTCTGTGCAGTAACAAAAGTAACTCAGCTGACTAAAAGACAATTGCTTAAGGAACTCAATTTATAAAATAAATACAGTATTTATGTCATGTGCAAGAGGAAGCATGGGCCAAATTTACATAAAGCTCAGCTTCCACCCTTGCAAATACTGTCATTTAGGCTGGACACCTGACCTGAAGTTGGATTTACTTTTGAAAAAATGTAATGCCTTCTTGAAAACTAGGGGTCTGGCCCTACAGCTCTAATCCTATAATTCTGGCCCTCTAATCTTAACTTTCAAGAGATGTAGTATTAATGAAAAAACATGTTACAAACTACAAACTTCACATGAAAAGGCCTACATAAAGAATTGCAGCAATTAATCATCTTCTTCAGCTCACACAATGATGTTATTTGTGCAGAATTAATCTAGTACTTCAGTTTTGAAAAGAGAATCAAAAACCTCTCAAGAATCAGTTTTAACTTTTTAACTGGACCCTGGTCCACTCACATAAGTGGTAAGGTTTGATACAGATCAGTAAAATCAGAGGATTCACCATAAACTAGTATCTTCAGGAGGTACACTTAGTAAAAATGTAACATCAGGGATACTGCCATAAAACAAGCTATCCACAAAAACTCCACTTGTGAAGAGCCTGGTAAAACCCACGATTTTAATCAAACAAAACAGCTCCTTCTAAGGTAAGTATTAAGATAAATATTAAAACATACATTATTTTAAGTATTTCCATTGTCACTGGTGAACTGACGTGAGTTTGGGAGTGTTTGTTTCCTTTTTACTGTGTTTAATTACAGCTGCTCTTTACCATAACACAACATATGGAATATTGCTCCAAGGCAAAACTAATAGAGACACCAGCTGTGGCCTGGATTGATCACCACAGCCCCACATGTCATCTGCTGGCTACTGCACCCAATACAGGGCTAGTTACCCATCTGGTCTTCTAAGTCCCGAAAAAGCTGTCAGCTGCTTTCTAGGGGAGTTTGACAATAACCATCAGGAAGGGACAGAACTGCTGATCAAAAGAAAAGCCAGGCAGAAATATGATGATAAATCCTCAACTGATAAGTACCATTTCTCCCAGTTACCAGACATTTGTCTCAAAAGCCACTTTTACAGTCTACATTACATTAAAGAACTTATTAATAGCATAACTCAACTATATCAAAGTCTGGTACAAAAAACATAATACCTTCAGCTGCCTTACTCATCTTTGGTTTCAAAAATAGAAAGTAAATATTTCAGCTGAGCTACTATTGTAGCAATTTAAGTGATACAGGAATGCCACAACAATGGCATATTGTCATTTCCACCAACTTCACTGAGATATGGAAATTGTTCAAGTATACTTAAGTAACTACAGTGTCAGGACCAAAACTATTTATTGAGACTTGAGGACAGAATGCAATGGAGAAAGAAGATGGGAGTTACAGTTATTTCACTGTATCCATTTATTTCTCTGGAATGGAAGAACACAGTCATGTTGAACACAAACCCCAGCTAGACGATATTATACACTCGGAGCATATTTGTGCTCTGTGCTAGGAAACTTTAAGGCCCAAATTGAATCCATAAGGCTCAAACTGAAATATGAAAATCTACTTAGATCATAAAAGCATAAAGAGGAAAACCCTCTATACAGAGTTTTTATTGCAGCAGAATTTAATCAACCAAATTATATTTCAGTGTTACAATGGTGTTCAGAGTTACAGTACAGGTAAGAACACAGAAACACAATATACGCTAAGGCAAAAACAGAGCTCTAGCTGCACTTACCGCTCTGGTGACTCTTCAAAAATGCTGTGACATTCGGTGTTCTCAAGCATGAGACTCCTGCTGAGATTCTGGACTCCAGGGTAATGGAAATTAGCGAAGGAGTGCGACATGGGAGAAGTTTTGGTCCCGAGGTCTGTGACCCGCTTGTCGTGGTTTGTCAATCCACACGAGAGCCCGTCCAAGGCAGGGTTTAGGGAGCGGGTCATGTACGCATCTGCTGACTGGGGCCGGCGCATGGGGGAGGATGGATAAGGAGAAAGTTTGCTGATAAGAGGTGTCAGAAGATCAGCATAGGCAGCTTTTGTAGGCTTGAGGAGTTTATCAACGTGAATATTAAGCATCTTTTGTTCAAAAGCACAAGAAAATACAGTAGCTGGCAGATTCTGCAGCCACGACAACAGGCTAAGGTCCAAGTCATCGCAGCCATTACCACACAAGAGATCAATGCCCAGCAACACTTCACTTTCCGTGATTTCTTCTCCCGTAGCTTTACTCTGACAGAACTCCACACAACATTCGTAAAGCAATCCCTTCATTACGAGCTGAAACAAGCGGTTGTTACTTGCTTTGAAGCCGGCCTCGCTCAGTTTCCTGTCTGCTGGAATGAACTCTGCCACCATGACACAGGCTTCTTCAAAGCAGTGCACCCGAGCAGTGCTGGGGTTCCAGTCCTTGAACTCGGCGTGGTTGGTGAGGCGAGGCAGTGTCAGCAGCAAGCACAGCTTACTGTAGTCTTCCTTAGAGGGGCAGTATTCCTCCAGTGCGTGCAGGCACTGCACGGCCTCTCGCATGGTAAATTCCAGCTGTGGAAACATCAACACGGCAATCTGCACTGCCTGTCTGTCCTTCCACAAGGAAATGCCTGAAGAACAGGCAGCCTATTGTCTGCTATCATTCATTTACTACTATTACTGCTTAGATGTTAATTAAAAAAGCATATAGAGTCTGAATTTGCTGATCCAAGTGTAGTTACAAAAGAGACAAATTCCTAGATGCTTTGACTTCCTAGAATCTCCCATCCAGTCCCATTTTTTACAGATTTGTGGAACGTTTTCATGTCACTGCAGGTTTGATGGGCATAAAATTTTAAATCTGTGACTAAGCAGCTCCAATTCTACTGTAGCACAAAAAGTTACTTCCATTCTCAAAAGCCAGCTGACTTATTTTCCCCTTTATTTCTATAACCTATGCCAGTAGCTTTTAATAAAAGCCTTGTAGATTACTCTGGTTTCCAGTGATTAGCAGCTTTTATACTGAGATTTTCTATTCTTCAATCAAAAATGTTAAAAAAGTTCAGAGCTCTCAGAAGATACAACCTCCAAATGAATAGAGGGCTTTATTACAAAGCCTGTTGACAGCTAAGAGCCAAGAACCATGTTAAATACTCAAAACCTGATATTTTTAGTTACACAGATTTAAAACCAGTAAAAATCCCCACTTACCCATGTTACCTAGACACTTCAATACAGCAGCCTTTGACCCACAACATGCCAACGTATCTGGTAACATTTACAACAAAATAAGGAACATTAATCTGACTTTTTCCCTCTACTGCTATCCTAGTAACAGTATACAGATTGAGGGATCAAAGGACTAGTACTCCTCCCATTTACAACTAGAAATTTGGACTTATTTTAACTTTCTCTACTGTGTCAAGAAAAGACCCTGAAGTACAATGTAAGTCTAATGGAACAGAGAATTAAAATCAATCTGGAAAACAAAATAATTTGTATTAAAACTACTGTCATTCTTCATTTCTCATTTCATAACATTTTTATCTTAGAAATTTGGTATCACTGTATTGTCAACATAAATGAAAAACTAACTAATTTCACAATCTGCACACCTTCTTTGCCAGTTTGAGTTAATGTCTCTTTCAATACCAAAAACTTACGTCCACAACTCCTGCTGTTTGCACATTTAATTGAAAGAGTCCTTTTGTGAACACATATGCTCCCTCAAAAAACCAATTCTGACCTTTCTCTCCAAAACCAACAGAAATTAAGCACAGAATTCATTCAAACTTTCATCTGGCCCAAATTCACACAATGAATTTCTGTGATCCTGAGGCCTGCTTCAGAATACTTGTGGTGAAAAAAAAAATAGTAACAAAAAGAAGAGCCCTGTACTTTAGCACAATGCCCTAAAGTAAATCTGAGGGTCAGGATCAGAGACACAGCATATGGTCACTGATCTATCTGCAAAATTTCAAGCAACCCTTTTAGGTACAACTGCATTTGAGACCAGGGAGCCACACTCACTTCCCAAGAATACTGATTACTTTATCCAGTGTTTATGAAACCATTGGTAATAGATGAAATTTGTGTATTTAATGCTGGGAGCTTCTGCCCTGCCTTTAATCAGACTAAACTCAAGAGCTTTTCAGACAACAAAAACATTTCCAAACCAGAGGTAATTCTTACATGCTGAGGCTCATCTTCTGCTGACATTGCATTGTTCACACATAAGGCTTCCAAGAACTTCTGCTTCATAATAATGTAACGAAACCTGCAGGTGAGAAGACAAATACTATACATCTTGCTCCAGGTAGTTAAATAATATTCTAGAGACAAGCAGGCTTCTCTCATCAAATGACATCAAATTTCTGAGTTAGGCATAGTAATTGTCATGAGAAGGAACTCTGATATGAATTTTAACAAATTGGTAACCACAACATTTTTTTTAAACAGGACATATTTTTTCCATAATTGCTTTCAGAAATATTCTACTACAAATATCAGAAGGCTAATTAGAAATAAAACAAGTATAGCAATCATATTATTTCTTGAATAGAAGTATGACAGAGCATCTATTAAAAGGTTGTACTACATGAATCATATTCCTAAAGTGTATGGCACATGACAACTCATTACAGATTGCATGCACATATTTTAAGTACAAGTTTAAAAACACATGCACACACTTTAGGGACAGCACACAGGCTAGAAAAAAAACCATCAAAAGCTAAAGTGAAAAACCCATTACAACTGTTTTTATAGACAATACTTAGAAATCCAGGTGTTTTCCAGAACTTAAAAAAACTGAACTCTGACATACATTCTATTTTACCTTTTCTTGTCGAATTTTTCCATACATTCAAGAGGCTGAATAAACTGAAGAACCTCATCCCACTGGCCATCAAGAATCAATTGCCTAGTTAAAAAAAGGATCATTCCTTGAATGTCACTGGACAAGAACACCCCTTTTCTAAGTAAGCAGCTAATTTAAATACAAAATAATTTAAATACACAACAGATAATCCACTTTGAAAAGTCATTGTTTTGGACAGGTGCCAAGATGACTGTTTAATAAGACTAACAGTAGGAGCAAAATCCAAGTCTGTTCTCAGTATTTTGAAAAATAACTGCATTCTAGAAGAACAAATTTTAACTACTTCTAAAGGCACATCAAAAAGGACAAAATGGTCTTTGTGTCTTCTGTTTTACCTGCTATTCTTATTTTTAAAAACAGCAAAAAAAAAAAAATCTTACTTGAAGAGTTTGAATAAAGATATAATTTCAATGACTACATCCAAACTAATGAAAGAGAACTTTAAAATGAGTTCATTTTAATTATATAAATACTGCTGGGGCTATTTTATGAAGGGGATGGGAAAACAAAGAGATGCCATATTAAGCATGTAAGAGGAAGAGCTTGGCAGGAATTGTGCCAGCACAGGAGCTCCAACCCCAGGATCAGTGGGCTGGACTGCACAGGTAAAGCAGTTCCATTTCTTCATGCTCTCCTATCACACAGGGCTCTCTATAAAAGGCTCAGGCCTACAAAGGAAGGATTAATTTCTCTAACTAAGCTAACAATGAAACAAACAAAAAAACCCCCCACTGTATTAATAACTTGAATCTTTCTGAAATTCTTTTTTCATTTCATCTTAGTCCAATATATATAATTTTAATGAAAAGGAAGACAGATGAGAAGACCTGTTCCGTGATTAAATGTATTTTTAAATGTTTCAAGAACAGCTGGATAAATTACTTTCTTATGTTTCATTAAGTACCTTTGGCATGAACAGAAAACATCAATGCTGAAAAACTAGTGTGGATGTACACTGATTCTTATTAATAATATTCTGGAGGCAATATCATGAACAGTAAATTGCACCAACCCTCGTGCCTTGGTAATGATACTCCTTTCATGTTGTTAAATTTAAGATAAATCTAAGTATTATTTTGAAATGCACATAATATTTTTGGGGAAAAGCTCTGGAAACCACTCATCCTTGATCTCAGCACTAAAATACTGTAAAAATATTCTAGACGTCAATAAACCTCACCTGCAGGGCCACGTGATTGGTAAGCAGATAATGACATCACAGATGCCAACAGGCCTTGCTTTCCCATCTTATTCTATAGTTTACTCCCAGCTTAGTCTGCACTGACACTGGCACTTGTTAAGTGTGCCCACTTCACACACCAGTATGCCTTCCCACCTGAATTCACTTGTGTCCCAGAAAAATAACAAAGTTAAAATGAACAAGCAAACAAAAAAAAAATGTGTGTCAATGCATGCTGCTGCTGCCTGGTCAGTGACTCTAGAGCTGGAACACACTGCGGGGCTGGGCTACAGAATGGGACCACGAAAAAGCAGAATAAGGTGAGGGCACAAGTTAAGATCTCCTGTTTAGTGGCATAGGGCTGGTAACAGAATTATAGTCCAACTTCTGTTTTCATAAATGTGGTATTTAAGCACCAGGAAAAGAAGTCCTACCTTAGGAAGAGCATGTCATCTGAAAACAAGCCATTAATGACCCCACTTTCTTTCTCAAGTGCCAGCATGCTGATGTGAAGCTTCCTTGAGTTCAGAAAATCTAGTATTAGCTTAATTATTTCAGCTTCTTTAACATTCACTGTTTCTTCAGCCGTCATGATGGCAGCCTAAAAGGAAAGAGAGAATTTTAGCTCTGATCAGTATCTTATTTTCTGCTTGGTTAGCAAATGTTGGCTACCAACAAAAATAAAAATGCAGATTTATAGGACAGAACATAGTGGCATTATGAAAATTAAACAAGATTAAGTAATTGATTTTGAGGTTGACTATGAAGCCATAATTAAGATCTATCAAAGCACCTGCAACTTTTCCATTTCTGTCCTATGCATAGAGGACCAGATAAAAAAATCTACGAAGAAATTAATCCTCTAGCTGTGAAAATATTGTGCTTACTAAGTCTGCAATATGTAAAATTTTCCTCTCTGAAATGCAAACAGTGAAGTTCAAAGAGCATAAGAGTCACTTACTATGTCATCATCTAGAGCTCTCACATATGAACTTAAATATTTCTAACACATATAAAAAGCACAGCACTCTAAAAATACCATCTCACCTTAACTTTGAAGCAGCATATGACAACTAAGCCAGAGGTTTCCATTCTTCCTTCCTAAGGATGACTATTTATTTCTGTCTATTCCCCTCATGAAGGATCTAAAGCTGCCAGCCCAAGGTGGCCTCAGACAGGGCCTGCTGCCTGCCAGCCTCACCTGCCTCCAGCTGCGTGTTCCTGGCTCCTCCTGAGCCCTCCTCACTCCTGTCACTGCAGGAGCTTTTCCACCAGCTCACGCAGCTGGCTCAGTGTTTAATGAGCTGTCCAGCCAGCCACAGAACAAGTGGGCAGATGTAGCTGGGGCCAGCAGCTGCTTGTTTAAAACTCCCACTGATAAGGTCCAAGCTCCTTTGCAACACAATTCCTCCAAGGATATGAGAACTGCAGCAGGTACTCCTCTTAGGAAAGCTTCATTAAATTCTCCTTTTGGCTAAGTCTTGTGTGATTCCAGTTAATATGACTTAAAGTAGAAGCTCTTGAACTTTCTTTTTCAAATGGTAAAAAGATTTTACAAGTAACTCCTAAACTGATCTGCTGAAAAGGAACTGGGGATGAGGAGAGAAACCCACTGACACGGCCAAACTGCACAGTATTGCCTTATCAGGAGCCCTAAAAAAAAATCAAACCCAACCCCCCACACACACCTAGCAGCACTCCTGCAGCTACAAGAATACAATTTAACAGGAGGAAAATTTCAGTTTAATCCCACATTATTGCTGCAAAAAGGGGCAGCTCCTCCTCTGAGCTCTGCACTCACCCCAGCCAGCTGGCAGCCCCACAGAACCTGAGCTGAACCCGAGCCCTGCTCTGAGCCAGGTGCAACTCCAGCATTTACTCACTCCATGGGCACATGGGCACTAATGCTGACACAAGGAACTACAAGAGCTTTGCTCTCTGGCAGTAGCCTGACTTCAGTGCACTCTCATAATCACTTTAAGACCAGAGAAGAAACCAGTACCAGTGAGGAACCCTCAGGAGAGGCAACAGCCCCAGGAAGGAGGTGAGACACTGGAGCACAGCGATGTGAGAAATGAATAAAGTACGGGGTGGGGGGGGAAGATGACCACACAGAGCAGGACAACCACAGCAATAGGTAATTGTTCCCAGTGTCTCTCCATTATAATTCAAAAGGGGATGTAGAAATTGTTCTTGATTCCCCCATGAAATCACTCACTTATGCAGATCCAGCAACTGAAAGACAACCAGCTGTGGGCAGCCCATCTTCCAAGACAATTTGAAACCATGTTACAGCCTTCATGTGTCTATCTCATCCTTGGGAGGGTGGAGTTAAGAAACTATCTACTTCCTACTAGAGAAAGATGCACAGAATCTGAGTGAGTTTGAATATTCCAAATAAAACACTCCGAGTATTAACAAGAACTCAGTTATTTACCAGAGAGGAAAGGAAGAGACAACTTTTCCATGAAATTCCTCACTGATCACCACAAACCAATGCTAATGAACCTGAAGGGACACAAAACCTTAGGCCTTAATAACATGGTTTTTTGCACTACTGTCCAAACCCCCAAATTTTCCATCTTTCTCACAATTGTATGTCAATTTTTTTCCACCTAAGTTTTTGCCAGAACATTTGACTAGCAAAGCATTTGATTATAGCAGCACAGTTTATTTTGGAACAACAGAGACCTAGTTGTGCCAAATGAAATGGCCTAACTTCTTAAAATGGCTGGGTCTAATTCTCATTTTAGTCACAGAAGACTCCAAACACCAAGTATTTTGATGGGTTTCATGAAAGACATGCCCACAGACCATAAGCACACTCTCAGCTAGTAAAGTTAAAAGGAAAAATTACACTCTGGCTTGCAGAAAACTTTGCTGCAAGAAAGAAAAATACACAGACCCACAAATCAAAATCCAGAACTTGAAGAAAGATGCTTTTTCCTTATGTTTTAGCCCTGTTTCAACTTCCCCTTTTGGCAATTGAATTTGAATTTTTGGTCCCAGAGAAAAAATTCAACCCTACCCTTATACACTGAAGGGAAAGAAAAAAAAAAAAATCAATACGAATTTAACCAGCAATTCAGTATTAACATCTTATTTCACAACCTCATCTAAAACATTTGCACTTCTCTTTTATTATACTTCGTGACACTGGTGGTTTGTATGTAAACTAATTAACCCCCTTGTCAAAAGACAAAGTAAGGGTTAGGCAAAAGTGTACTGAGATTACCCATCAGAAAATAAAATCAGACTAAGAATTCCTTTGAAGAAAGGAACATCAAGTCCAGCTTTCTTTTCAACAGGCTCTGCTGGACACAAGTGTAAACAGGAAGCCACCCTACACAGCTTCAAAGCTTGTCTTAATTATTTATATATTACACTGATGACAAAATGAGCATCTTACTCAGTACTTTGATTCAGAGTACATGTACATTATGTAAAATCCAGCATCTGAGAGCTGTCTTCCATATTCCATTGTAGTTTTTTTAAAATGAGAGGTCTGTCCTGAACATAAAGCCTCTGACAATTTGAACACTTAACTTTATTTACTTAATTTTCATAAATCAGGGTAAAGAACGGTTGCACCCTCCATATCTGATATAAGATTAGTAACAGAACTTTTGGGGTACAACATCCAGACTTAGTTTGGAAAGTGAACTACTGAAAAGCAGCTGAAGTACACTGATAAGCTCATCCATTAACAGTATTATGATAATCAGTGTGCATTCCCTAGGAGTGCAAAACAAAAAGCTAGAAAAGAACAGTAAACCTATCAGAGAAGATTTTCACATAATTGATGTTTTTTAGTCTGATGAGCTCAGACTTCTCTTATAAGCATTATGCTGTCGAAGTAATAATCAGCATTTTAGCATGAAAGTATAAATATACACAGGCTTACACATCACCCTCTATGAAATCTATGACGTTTACTGACACTCACCGGTATGTCAGTATGTGTATAAATAAAAAAAATAATAATTAAAAACCAAAGGACAGCAGGGAAACTCAAGATTAGAGCTCAGGCTGCATCTTTGGTTCATCACACTGCATTGCTTCCTGCCAGCACATATGGTACATAACGTCACAATCTGATCAGCTCAAGGTCTAATACTCAAGAATGATGGAAGCACAGCATTAGCTTGAGGTATAAATGAAAGCAAACAAGAATTAGAGCTTAATATTTCAGGTGCCTTGTATTAACCACGTTTCTGATACAACCCTTTTATCTTGCCCAGTCTTTTCAGAATGGCACTTCTCCACATCTTTCTTCCATCTCCTGTCCAGTCCCTCTTATCTTCTGCTAGTTCTGTATTTAAATTTATTTTTCTACATCAGGAAAACCAAAAAACTTCTTGCCACAAACCTGACACATCTTTCCCTCTACCTTGAGTGCACAATATGTTGTTCAAATAAGCTCTTTGGAACATAACACCTAATGCTAAAGCTCCCAGCGAGAGCCTTCACCCTTGTTCTGTTCTTACTCATGTTCTAAGAACATGTCAACAGCAAGAACCCTCTCATGGTGTTAAAAGCGTAAGAAAATAACTCTTAAAGCATTAAAACATATTTACAGTCTCTTATGCATATAAATATACTATTTCAGGAAAATGTTTATAAACTAGAAACATCTAAAGGTAGGTAGCTTAAAGGGAGACTGTTCAGTGCTTTCTTCAAATAAATTTAAAATGTACATGCATTCACGTGATAAAAATTAAAAGTAAAGTTTAATATTGAAAAAAATAAATTGTGAAATTCTACAGCAAGCGCCATTCATGTGTTATTTATCAACTGAAACAAATCACTTGCCGATAGCATAGAATAAGTATCTGGAAAACGAGGCAAGGAACATTAAGTCTCTAACTACTCTGAAATACAAGAAAAAAAATTACAGTTCAAATCTTAAGTGTCATGCTGTGAGAGCAGTGATACATTTAAAGGGACACTCAATGCCAAATTAGGAGCCTTGGTTCACTGACACCTGCGACGCAGAGCCAACAAGCTCAGCATCCTGGTGAGCTGTCACAGAAAACCTCAGTGTGAACAAGTCATACATATTTAAAATCTTGGCTATTTTGCATTAAGCTATTTCACCTTTTAATCCACCCCACAGTCACTTACATTTGACTCTTGTGCCTTCCCAGAGGCCACTCCAGACTTCTGGCTACACAGAGTCCACAGCCCACAGTCAGTCCCTAGTGGTTCCATTTCTCAAGTGCCCTCAATCATCTTCAGTTATTCTAGATCAAATGAATTTACCAAAAAAAAAAAAAAAAAAAAAAAGGAAGAAGACTGTAGGCCCAATTTTTATCACAACTAATTCCCACAGCAGTCAACAAAGCTTGCTGACACCCGTTTCACCCTAAGAAATCACACAATTCATTATCTCAAATGAAACGCAGCGAGCATATTAAGGCCTTAAGACACAACCTTCACTAAACTTTGTATAGCTGAACTCTGAGACCTTTTCTACTCCAATACACAGAAAATCGGTGTCCTCTTACACACCAGCCTTTCCTGCCTGACACGGATTTTTCACTGGCTTGCCATGCAGTAATCCATTTTGTTCCCTTGCTTGGATCAGCTGTTGCTCCCGAGCCGCCCGGTAATCCTTGTCTCACCACGCTTGGGAGGTGACCGCAGAGCTCAGCATTCACCAGCCCCTGTTACAACACGCACACGCCTTGCCCAGCGCATTCCGCACCGCGAATGACAAAAAGGTGACATCAAATTATGCAATACTTCACACCACAGAGGAAATATAAGGCAGAAAAATAAGAAAAGCCAAACAACTTCCAAAGATATTAACTAGATATTAACGCATTCTGACTGTAACACCCCGCACTGTTCCAGCATGTTTTTCCTCTCCACGCGCGCCTCCATAGGAAATCCAGCTCCGCCGGGTTTGCAGCAGCCGCCCCGGCTAATTGCGCCGCGCATCAGCATTTCGGGAGCGTGAGCTCAGCACGGGCGGCGGGCAGGGCCGCACGGCCCCGGCGCAGCTCCCGCGGCGCAGCCCCGGGCACAGAGCGCGGCCCCGGCCCGCACCGCGCCCGGGCTGCCCCGGCCGGGCCACAACAAAGGGGCGGCGGCGCTCGGGCGTCGCCGGCAGCCGGGGCGATGCGCACGCCGCGGGGAAGGCACAGACGGCCCCGGGATCGGCGAGGACGCCGAGCCAGCACCCACCTGGCGCCGCAGCGGCCGCAGCCCCCGCCCGCAGCCCCGCCGGCCCCCGCCCTCCGTCCCGCCCGCTCACCTGCGGGGCCCCGCGGCCCGTGCGCGCCGGCACCGGCGGGGTGGCAGCGGAAGATGGCGGCGGGCCCGGCTGTGTGGCGGGCGGGCCGGACCCGGTTCCGCGGTCCTCCTGGTGCCGCTGCCGCTCCGCTCGCTGCCCGCCCGCACCGCTGCCCGCCCGGCGGCGCCCCGGGGCCCTCCCGGCGCCGCTGCCGAAGTGGAAAGCGAAAGGGGCGGGTCGGAGCCGCCCCGCCGCGGGGGCGGGAGGGAAGGAGGAGGGAGGGACAGATGGCGGCGGCGGCGGCGGCGGCGGCCGCGCTGGGCGGGGCCGCTTTGTTCGCGGCGGGGCGAACCCGCCCGGCGGGCAGGGCAGGGCAGAGCCGCGCCCCGCGCTGAGGGAACGGGGGGCGGGAGCCGGGAGCCGGGAGGGGCTGCAGCTGCCGCCCGGCAAGTGCGGCATCCCCGGCGGTCCCCGGTGCTCCTGCCGGTGGGGACACTTACCCAGAGCCCGGTGTCACCTCACAAAGGGCGGCCAGGCCGTGCTCCCGGGGCTTTCCCGAGGCACGCAGCGGTCCCAGCACTCGAGCAGGGCAGGAGCGGCAGTGCCCGTGCGCCACAGCCCGGATTTTGCTCGTGCGGCGCGGGTTTAAGGCCTGTGGGCAGCACCTTTAAGTATTGCAGGAGGTGCTGCCGCGTTTCAGGTCAGCCGGGGATTTTTAGTGTGCTTATGCTGTCATCCGCTTCTTAAGGCTGTTGAGCGAAGCACGCGTTCTTTACAGAAATCTTATTATGCATGCGGGATACCTGATGTATTCATATGTTATTTGACTTTCAGTTATTTTTGTAATTGTCGAAAGATTATGGCATTTCAAAGTCATTATGGTGAACAGTCAATACGCTTGCTTTGTGTCTATATGTAGTGGTGAGATGTTAAAATTCAAGTACAGCACTTGGACAGAGTACTTGTGAACACACTGCAGTGCACTGGCAGGCCCTGCCAAAAGGGAGGTGATGGCAATTTTCTGACAGGTTGATGCACGATTTTTAAATTTATCTTTTTTTTTTATTATTATTTTAATTAGGCATGTGTGCCATGCTTTAGAGTTCCAGGGAGGTTGTCAGGGTTCTGACTGAAGCTGAACTGGATTCTCTGTCACATTCACGAAATGTCACTGAGGTCAAATCTACTTACTACCTGTTTTGCTGAGAGTCTGCTGAAGGGCAGAGGGGAAGCTTGTTATTTTTTCTCTCTTCTTTCTGAATAGGAATACAAACAAATGTCCCAAAGGCTGTCCAGCGAGAAGTGTACCTGGCTGCACAGCAGGGACTCTGCCGTGTGCAGGGAATGTGGAACTCAATGGTTCCTTTTGTTCAAGTCCCAGCTTCACTTCCCAGGAAGCTATATGTTGCTTAGTTGCCTTTGGAGGCACTGCTTAAGAGAAAATGTAATTACAGAAATGAAACTGTTTTCCAATACATATGATATAGTAGAGATGATAAATCAGGGGGAGTGTGGAAAAACAAGATGACTTTAATTGTCTAAACTGAGTGGTATGTATAACTTAACTGAGCATAGGTACAAAAAGTCCATTTAAAACTTTTTTTAACCTACAAAATTCTAGCTAACCACAAATAGGCTTTTAAATTTAATTTTAGAGTGGTTTTATAGTAGTTTACTAATCTTTTGTGCAGTAGCTTTGTTTTCAGTGGCAGTCCTGAGACCAATTCTGTGAGACCATCTCTGGATGGCAAGAAAGATAAAGATTCTTCCCACTTATGGACCTGAAAGCAAACTTAAGAATTTAATATTATTCTGTTTCCTGCTCAGAATGTTGGACCTTTCACAGGTAAGTAGCAAATTCCTATACTCTGGAAAGAGATTTCATGAACTATCAGGAAGAAATATGGAAGAATAGGTATCAGTAGTTGGTGGCCTTGCTTGGGGGGGCAATCATACTCTTACTAAGTTTTGGTGAAGATAGGTATAGTAGCATCCTATGGGAAGAGAGCCAATGGAAGATCTTGGTCTTGGGTTGTTTGCAACTCTCTACTTGAGCATAGAAATGTGTTTGGGATGGTCTCAGCTTGTTTTGAACTCCCTGCTCATTACTGTAAAGGAGGTAACTCCTACGAACAGCAAAGCTGTTGGGTGTGGGTTTTAGAAAGCTTGAAAATCAGGATTAGTGGAGGAGGAGATCTGCATTGCCTAGTGACAAAACAGGACACTGCAGTCTGTGCTTGGAGCACTTCGGGAAAGAAAATAGTAATTGTGTGACTGTTTTACAAATGTTGCAGGTTAGAAATGAGACTCTGGAAAGCTGTGCCAGGGAAGGGGCCCTGGGGGTCCTGCTCGATGGCAAGCTGGCCATGAGCCAGCAGTGCCCTGGCAGCCAGGAGGGACATCCCTGTCCTGGGAGCACCAGGCACAGCACGGCCAGCTGGGCAAGGGAGGGGATTGTCCCCTCTGCTCTGAGCTGGGGCAGCCTCACCTCGAGTGCTGGGGGCAGCTTTGGGTGCCACAACATAAAACAGACATGGAGCTGTTAGGGAGCACCCAAAGGAGGCCCCGAGGATGGGGAAGGGCCTGGAGGGGAAGCCGTGGGGAGAGGCTGAGGGTGCTGGGTCTGTTCAGCCTGGAGGAGACTGAGGGGAGACCTCAGTGCAGTCACAGCTCCCCTGGGAGGGGAGGGAAGAGAAGGGGCAGGCACTATCTCTGCTCTGGGGTGACAGTGGCAGGACCCGGGGGAATGGCCTGAACTTGTATCAGGGCAGGTTTAGGTTGGATATCAGGAAAAGGTTTTTAACCCAGAGGGTGTTTGGGTACTGGAACAGCTCCCCAGGGCAGTGGTCACAGCACCAGCCTGGCAGAGCTCAGGAAGCATTTGGACAATGCTCTCAGGCACAGGGTGTGATTCCCGGGGATGTCCTGTACAGGGCCAGGAATGGGACTCAGTAATCCTTTGAGTCCCCTCCAATTCAGCTGATTCTGTGATTCTATGTGTTGGCCCTAAAAATGGGCCAATCCCAATTTTCTCTACTTGTAACAGAGCCATTCAACTCCTTACATTTTATATTTACAGAGTCTTGTAAAAACTTAGGAAAAATTCTGTCAAAAACTTTATTCTGAAACAGTTTTTACTCATTTCAGTAAAGGGTTTCCAAAACTTTGAGGAGACTATTCAGCAGAATTCTTGCATAATCTATAGAATTCTTTATGTCAGCACCATAGCTGCAGTTTCAGGTAGTTTAAACAAGAAAAACACTGATCCAAAACACTGAAGCCAAAATCTGGCTTCAAGTAATTAAATAATTGCAGGCTTATGGGGCCTTGCTAGGTCTTGTACTGCAAACATTTAGATCAGTGATGATGAAGAAATAATAAGACAGAGCTGCTGTGATGGAAAGCTCCATATTAACTTTTGGTCTTTCTGCAAATCTTCATTAACTGTGACGTAAAAGTATATATACATATTACTTAGTATATCTCCATGAAGTTTAGATACCATTAACTGCAAAGTTAAACACATGTGGAAAAAAATCTTTTAGTATCTTGCTTAGACACATTTGTTAGTGGATGATGAAATACTTACTTACCCCTAAGCATTTTATATATCAAGTTGTTTGTAATGTTGAATAAGAGTCTGAAGAAAGTTTTAAATAACTTTTTTCAGTGACTGCTTACCTTATTTGTGTTGTTTTCTGCCCCTTCTTGAGTCGTGATGGTTATTAGCTCTTCTGATCAGTGGCAGTTCTGTCTAGCATCCATCAGCATTATCCTTGAATTCAGAAATTTGATTAAAAGAACTTAATCTCCCAGAGACTTTGTACTGAAATGTGCATGTTGTAGATTTCTTCCTTGTCTCTTACAGCAGTGGTTTCGAGTGTAGGAGCTGCTTTTCTTTCTTGCCAGAAGGAAATAAGCTGGAGTAATTTCCCTACCATGTTTGACTCATTGCTGTAGTTGTCTAAATAAACATGTATTTTTTATTCTTTATGTAAGCAAGTAAGTCTGAAGGTAAATGTGCATTTGTATGTATACATATACAAACACACTTCAAATATATTTTTACCTAAATGGAACTGATTGCTTTTAAAAATAAATTGCTTATAAATGTATAAAGATGTACATGTTAAATATATTTTTCTCCTGCCATCTACACCTGGAATAAGAGTGTTTATAGGGGATGTTTTCCTTTTGTTGTTTTTCATTTATTTAACTAGAAAATGTAAAAGCAGCTGTAAAGGAGTGTGACTGTCAAGATACATCTTTATATTCACAATTCTTCAAGATGCTTATTCAGCTCATTAAATTAGTAGCAAGACAGCAAAGAAATGCTAATTTCGATGTGAAGATATCTAAATAGTTAAAGTTTAGCCCTGTGTCTTTTTTAATAAGTTGCTGGAAAAAAAAATCTGACATGGATCTGATCAGTACAGCTGGATTTGAGAAAAAAGCTGTTTTTTGCATCACATTTGTGTGGCGATCGATCTGAAACCTTCTGTTCCAAGCATAACTCTGGATCCCACAGCACTACAAATTTTGAATCAGAAATTCTGTAC